AGAACAAATAGTCGAACCCAAACTTACTAGGGATTGTGAATCGCAAGTTGTTGAATACGAAGAAGATAATCACCGTTAGGAAGATTTGGCGGAATGGTATAAGTATATGTTTCTATTCAAATTAATTCTCCTTACTTTCTGCTAAATCAGGTTCACTAAAAGAAGGAAAACTCACGATAGAGATTCCAAGTTGCGACTTGATTTGTAAAGGTAGGACCAATGTCTAAAATCTTAAACCAAACCTGACCGGATCCATCGAAGGCTGCTGCAGTTGTCGATGCTTTTGCCATATATCTACAAACGTCAATCTCAATATCAATTCTATTATAAGTAGCCGCAATAGAGATGAGAAACTTACATAGACAAAGGGCCTTGATGATAAACCTGTACGTCCGCAGTGAAAGAGAAAGAATCGCCAGCTTTGACTGTAATAGTTTGCGTTCCCTTGCTCGTTCCAGCACCGGAATTGCATCGTAGATCATTGCTAGCGAGGTCTGTAACAGGACTATTGTAATTATCGTTCATACGAATGTATCCATAGGGTGGATATTGAATGCTCTTGTAGGTAAATGACTGGAAGATGTCTAGTTGCTAAAGTGTTAGCTGCGCTTTATTCCTGGGCTTGATAAGTTGGAGGGTGCTTACAATGAGCAGAGGCATGACACGTAAGGAACGAAAGTCCTAGCAAAGAAACGAAGGATTTCATGATGGGCAAGGCAAACTATGATGGAAAGCTTAGGGCGATACGAGGTTCAAATTGACAGAGGGGGACTTTTGAAAATTTATACAAGTAGGAAATGGAAAAAAAGCATCTGCAGCAAATAACAACACTCTTAACTAGTGTTGTTACATTTATGTACGCGGATCGAATCATTCTCAAGCCAGATATTGCTTTTAAAATCTCCTCATCAACTGACTAGGACAGCAGATAATTCATCAACAGCCGGCATTCCTCGAGCCTCTAATATCAAGTCCATGGAATAAAATTGGTACTATACCCAAGTATCTGGGTCTTGGCGACTTCCAAAATCTGGGGAAGTCAGCATGGGGAAAGTGGAGGATATAGGCAGCATGCCGTTGCCAAGTGCCGTTTCGGATGAACAACGTCAAGCTGCACCCCAGATTTCAGTGGCTGAGAGGCTCGAAACTTTACGGAGAAATGGAACGATGAATTTGCATATCCCAATTAGGATCCAATATACCTCAACGGCGCTCATTAAAGCACGACAGCAAAAAGCTTTTGTTAGACATTTCTCTTCTTTAGTACATCTCTGCACATGAACGGAAATACGGAACTGTTACTATTATATAGAAAGTGTATTTATACCATGATGATATGCGGAGTAGCGGGCCGTGTTACACAATTTATATGAATTGAACTTCATATAAATCGCTTGGATAAAACTGAAGGTTGATCAGCAGATCCCGGAATGTCATTCCAAATTACAAACGCATATGCTCAAGTATCAAGTAAACAAAATATGTGATGTGATATTAAGATAGACGGAGAACTGATTTTCGACGAGTGATCTCGCTCCTTTCTAGTCAGTCTCTCATAGAGACCATCTTTGGACTCGGAAAATGTAATCGTCAGGCGGATCTTAATAAGTTCCTGAGCTTTACTTATTGGCTAGTATTAGCTTTGATGGTTCTTATCTATTTGTTAAACCCATTCTGTCCTCGTAACCATCTTCCAAAGAATCTCTGAAATCAATGAAAAAGCCGTTACTGGCGCAGCGAACTGCCGAAGCAACAACTCCCGCAGCTTCCCGCGGTCAATTCCCAGAGCAAAAGTACTTTGCTCATGACGCGAAGAAAAGAGACAAAGTGCAGCTCACAGAGCACGAATCGCACTAGCTCAGACCACTCGAGAGGAGAAGAGATGAAAATATAACACTCTCGAAAATCAAGAACGGAGGTAACATATATTAATATATTTGAGCACGTACATCAAAATAGGTGAGGAAACCAATGCGCGAAAGATGGAAATTGTGATCCGAGACGATGCTGTTAATGACTTGTAGCAATTGTTGGCCATCCTGAACATTGTCACTTCTCGACAATTTCATGAATTCAGGATGATATTCGCGAAGAAGGGCAGTATTTTGCTCGAAGTAACGTGTGAATGGGCTATACATCACTTCGGGTATTATGGAACAATAAAACTATGATTTCTGAAGATTAGCAACAGGTCTAAGAACATGTGGTAAAAGAAGGTATGCGAATCATGAATCTGACGCTAGCCAGGATCAAAACTGGACAAAGTCAATATTTATTGGTATCTCAAACCTCCTATAAATGCTTTCAACTTGTTACTCAGGGTGAGTCCAATCCCTCTAGTCTGACTCTGACCTCTCTGACCAAAGCCTTTGCGTCCTCTACTTCTACCCCATCTTGACACAATTCTGTCGCCAATTGCATGGCTCTTTTGTAATCACCCGTTCTCATTGAGTGTTTCGCTAACCACATCCTTGCTTTCGACGTTGCAGCCGTAACTCCTGTGCCGTTGCTGCCTTCACCTGTAGGTGCCAATGGTTGGCGTCCTTCATCATCATCTGATGCTGAATCATTGTGAATGTTAATAGCCGATGCATCTGTATTATCATTGCCTTCTTCCTGTGCCATGCACAACTCCATGTATCCTCGTGCTTCTTTCTCATCCTCTAATCTCTCGTACATCCCAGCAATTTGGAGTAAAATTTCCGGATCCATGGTGCCTCCTCTTTCTCTACCCCCACTTCCAAATGAACTACCCACACCTGCGTCGTAGTAGCTATCTGCTAACAATGCACGCTTCAATGCTTTTATACCCTCCAAATCGCGTCCCATTTTCTGTAAGCAGGATCCTACTGCCATCCACATTTTACCGTCCCAAGGACGGAGTCCTGCTGCACGTTTATAATACCACAGTGCATATGCATGCATCTCAAGTACTTCGTATGTTTGCCCTAGTCCATACCAGGCTCTGTAATCTCTCCTGTTCACATCAACTGCTCGACGATATGATTCAATAGCCGCGTGGGTGTTTTTCAATTCCACATATTCGTGACCCATGAGCGTCCAAGCACTGAGGCAAGAACGGTCTAGAGTTAAGGCACGTCTGAAATATTGTACAGCTTTCTCGTGGCTTGATAATAGTGAGTAGTAATTGCCAATCACAACACATGATTCTGGTCGAAACTTATCGACACTCGAGCAAAGGTGTGCAAGAAACGATAATTTTGGTCTGAGATTCATGACATAAAGAATATTAGAGTAGTGATCGAGTGAGTCCAGCCGATGAGGATATAGTGCAAGAAGGCGACTGAAGTGGGCATCAGCAGTGACGAAGTCCTTAGTATGATAGGATAAAAGAGCTAAGCATGTGAGTAGAAAAGGGCTGGTTGGGAATATGGAAAGAAGTTGCTCTAGAGAATTGGACAGTTGTGGCGTCGACTGGTATAATTCTAGAGAAGTATGAAGATGGAATATGAATGAGAGAATGTTTTGGGGAAGATGTGGCGATATTCGATTTAACTGCCCAGCAAGTCAATATTTTAACATAAATTTCAAGGGGCTTACTTACATCCTCAACTCTCGAAATCAAAGAAGTCATCTCCAACCAGCATCCCCAATTCATGGGGAATAACTCAACACTTCGGACCAGCCAGCGCATCGCCTCATCCTCATTTTTATCCTTGGCCAGAACCATTCCATAACTATGTCTCGTTAATGAAAATTCAAGTCTGAGAAAGTTTTGACTAACAGATATTCAAGCCATCCTTGACTACCCGCAAACTCTCCAGTTTCAGTCTTTCTCTCTTGAAACCAAGCCTCCAATATTCGAATTATTGTGACTAATTGTTTGTTTACTGTATTTCCTCCATCGTGAGGGCCCATTACCATTTCACTGTCTTCATCTTTCTTTTTCTCGCCGGACATGAACTTTGCGTATAAAGCTAGGAATAAGCTCTTCTGGCTCAGTTTTGGAAGCCCCGATATTGCACCTGTGCTAACTCGACTTGGTGCCTTTTCTTTTCCCTTTGATCTTGTGTTTACCCCATGTTGATTACCTTTTCCAGCCGTCGTTGACAGAATCCCAGAGAGCAATCTATCCGGCAGGAATACGGCCGCACATCGGTCGAATTCCCGGCAATCGAAAAAGGATTTCGCCAACAAATACTTGTTGATCTCTCTCGCCTCAAGTTGTGCCTCTTCGGGATCGAGGTTTCCAGTAAGAACAATTGGAGGGAGTCCTTCCGCCGGAACTTCCGTCATCTGCGAATCTTCGGGGTCCGAGTCATCATTTGTCGGTATGGATGTTAGGAGTTCTGCTGCCCTAAATAGATTGGTCAATGAACGTAAGCAACATCATGATTGGGCGTTTTACCATTTTGCAGATTGATATAGACATCTTTCCGAACATTTTACAACTGCTTCCTGTAGTGACCCTCGCAATTGTGCTGTTTCCCGCTCCGTAAGTGCCATGTTGTAATCTTTCTACCTCAATTCTTCGAGAATGTGAGCTTTAAAATAGCTCATGGAATTCAAGCTTGCCTGCAGACTAGTAAGTTGGGTCTTGATTAGCTTAAGGTACGGTACGGTACGGTACGGTCCGGGCCCTTTGGTTGTTTTGTTGATTTTGATACCTCGTCGACCGAGGAACAATTCACAATATTATTCTCGCCAGAATATCTTTGAACAATACAAAGTCAATTCACTGTTGTACATTATACAGCATTGCTGTCAAGAACATTAAAATTAAAGTTTAAAAGTAACTTTTATCTTATCAGATATGGAAAGCGAAAGCGCTGTTTCCGCGTCCTACCCACCCCGCACCTTCACCGCTTGTAATTTATTAATTCCCCCTCATCACTCTTAACGCTTCTTTAATACCTCATTGTTTACAGTACCACCACCATTCACCTCTCTATCCATACTCTTCTTTCTCTGGTCATCAATACCTTTCGTCTTATATTCTACCTAATCGACTTCTACCAATCATCACCTACGCAATAACAATGGCGAAGAATACCACTCTCAAGGAGTTCGAATCCGTCTTCCCAAAATTGGTTGAGGATTTACTTGCCCATGCCCAAAAGTACAACCTCCCTCAACAGGGTCAAGATTGGCTCAAGGCCGTGAGTGATTTTCCAGAAGAATCATTGTAAATGCCATGTACTGATTCAGTTTCTCTCGTATAGTCTCTGTATGCTAATACGATTGGCGGAAAATGCAATCGTGGAATGTCTGTTCCCGACTCAGTATCTCTCCTCCTCGAAGCTCCTCTATCTGAAGAACAATACTTCGAATCTGCAACATTGGGATGGATGACTGAACTTCTTCAAGCTTTTTTCCTTGTATCAGACGATATCATGGATAGCAGCATCACTCGTCGCGGTCAACCTTGTTGGTACAGACAACCAAATGTTGGCATGATCGCTATCAACGATGCTTTCCTCCTCGAAGCCGCGATCTACTCTTTATTGAAGAAGTACTTCCGCTCGCACCCTTCCTACGTTGATCTCATTGAACTCTTCCACGAAGTTACATATCAGACAGAACTTGGTCAATTGTGCGACTTGTTGACAGCACCAGAGGACAAGGTCGATTTGGACAACTTCTCAATGACCAAGTATGACTTCATTGTCACATACAAGACTGCTTATTACTCCTTCTACCTTCCCGTCGCTCTTGCACTTCACCACCAGAAGATTGCAACTCCAAAGAATCTTAAGCAAGTCGAAGATATCTTGATTCCGCTTGGCCAATATTTCCAAATCCAAGATGACTATCTTGACAACTTTGGTCTACCCGAGCACATTGGAAAGATCGGAACTGATATCATGGACAACAAGTGCTCTTGGCTCGTAAACAAAGCATTGGCTATTGCAACACCCGAGCAGCGTCAAATACTCGAGGAGAACTATGGCCACAAAGATAAGACGAAGGAAGCCGCGGTGAAGAAGCTGTTCGATGAGTTGAATTTGAAACAGATCTATGAGGACTATGAAGAGAAGAGAGTTGGTGAGATCAAAGAAATGATTTCACAGGTTGACGAATCTGAAGGCTTGAAGAAGACTGTGTTTGAGAGTTTCTTGCAGAAGATTTACAAGAGAAGCAAGTAAACAGACAGAACCTTTGTTGATCGCGCATACTTCTTTACACTATTGAGCAGCGAGCTATACTTTTTCTAAAAGTCGTTGGAATTTATAGAGCTGAGTTTTAAAATACCCCAGATAAGCCTTATGCTTTATTTTACACCTTTGGGTAATTGTTCAATTCGCGCTGATGATTTTCTGTTTGCCGTTATTTTTCTCATGATTCATAAATCTCATTATGCTAGATGCTGATTCCTTTCGCTATACAGTGCGAGAGGTGCTTTGTGCTTCCAAACCGGCTGGTCTGCTATTTTGATCCATGAACTTCTATGCTGCAACTTTCCTCAATTTTTCGCGTTCCCATTTAGCTATGCTAAATATGACTTGAGCATCTGGTCTTGTCTTTAAACAACATTGCCCGTAGAATCATATCTTTTACATCCAGTGTGTCTAGTAGCTCGCACTGGTAGACCAAGTATAAGTCTTGAATATTCGGAAATAATTCGATGTTCAAAGGAATTCAACTTTTCAAATTTTAAACTACTTGAATGTTCCCATTGTATTTTAAATTCGAAAGCTTCCTGTTGTTCAAGTGCCGAATTGCTGGCAACTCTGCTTATGCCTTTAGTCTCTCAATCAATCCAGTCGTCTCGTGCTCCCGCTCTTCTCCTCTTTTTTGTATTCTCAAATTCTTCCAATCTGTCCTCGTTGTACACAGGCCTGCCGCACAACCTACCTTGGCATTTCTCTGCACACCAAGAAAAGCCCCCAAAGCTTCATCCATCATGATACGGGAAATTTAAGTAGTAAGTAGGACGACGAAAACACGATCCAATCACAATATGGAACAAAGAGGGGCTTTTTCTTCTCTTGTGAATGCCTAGTTAGTTTAAAAATGAAGAGAAGGCGCCTAGATGTAATAATATACATGTTGACCGATAAAACCGAGCGCAGGTTTCTGAGAGCTTCTCTCTGTCTTGCCATCGCTAAAGCAGTAAGTGGAAGATTAGACCGCAAGCCTCAGAACAACAGAAGATCGATCAAGAGGGTATTTGGTAATGTTTCCTTAGCAAATACGAATAATTTTGAGGTTTTAATGTTGGGTTTTGTGAATGTAGAAGTGGAAGTTGGTCTGAAAGCAGCTGGATGCGCACAGAGACTTCTACTCTCACCTCCTTGAGTAATGTTCACCCTGGTCGCCATTTTAGCATCCTGCCCTCCTTTTAACATCAATGCCCCCGTTCATCTCCGAATCAGCACTCCCTTGCTTACACGCTCTTTAGATTTGGAGGAAATGTACTAAATCCAATTTGACAGACAAAGGCATATAGTCCTAATGAGCTTGTAGGGAGATCTAGAAGCTTGCACTACGTCTTGGTGTGCGATTCACTTCATCAATCTTTTGAAAGATTAGCGGTTCTTCAAATTGGATAAGAGACACCTAATAGATTTGAACAAATGTGTAGTTGATGTTATAGAATATATGCAAAGGGTATATACGAAAATCAAACTCAAACCCAAACTCCAATTTGCGACTCCTGCCATTAATTGAACTATTATTTCATTTATACACTTTTCATTGCACCTCCGATAAAACAACTGCTCTTCTTTCACTCAAAGGAAAAGAACAAAACAAGGGACAATAATTTATATCGTTTTCAGAAAAACCATACTTCACTGTGTTTCACCTACCAAGAATTCCTCATTTGGTAAGAATAATCTCAACATCATCAGTAGCCTTATGCTTCCCATCTGAAGGTATCAATTTTATAGAGCTTCTCTTACCACGACTCATGAAAATGACTTTCTTCATTCCTTCCGGACATGGCTCAGCTGCCTTAGTAAGAGGTGATGCTGGCCGTTGATGGACCGCTGGAGGAGGTGTTATAATAGCGTCTTTTGGCTCAGGATTTGCCGGTAACGAGTCTGCAGATATGATCTCTTGTAGTGGTGATGCCTTAATCACAGAGGCGCCAAAGGTAGTTTCTCCAGATTTCGATGAGACGGAAGGTCGAGTGAGTGGTGATATGGGAGACATCAAATGGGAAGTCGGTTCCGGTGTTAGACTTCGATTTCGCGGGCCAAATAAGGAGGATAGACGAGATGAAGTGCTGCCGGATCGTTTGGAAGGTGCGATTGAAGATGCGTCTGTGTCGGTCCATTCATCATCGCCAGGGCTTTCTGAGATAGATTTTTTAGGGGTTTTAAGTGACGATTCCCGTTCTCGCCTTTTACGATGACGCTGGATTTCCAGTTGACGAATTGACTCGCGATCTGAGCCCTTCGCTCTGGCTCTTTGGTAAATTCTACTCTTGTTCTTGTCGAATATTTGCGAGGAATTTGTCCACCGGTAAGGATTCGGCATTTCTGGTTCTTTTCCTTTTCCTCCCGCTGCGTAATCCTTGCTCTGAGGATATTTGTTTGTTTCTTCTTCATGTTCATCTTCGTCTTCCGTGTCATCATTGTCAACATCATTCTCATCTTCCTCATTCTCTAGAAGAGCAATTTTATCATCCTCCTTTGCCTTCTTGACCTTCGACTTTGGCTTGACTTTGCCCTTTGCCCTTTTCTTTGGAGCTTCATTGATGATTGGTTTGCTCTTGCTTTTCTTCCTCTTACTCTTCTGCTTATTGTGATTTTTATAGTCCTCTTCGTCATCAACGTCTTCCTCCTCTTCCAGGAACTCATCGTAGTCATCATCCTCGTCCTTATCGATCACCTTGCCCTCTTTTTCCAGGTCGTTTGTTTCGGGGTTGCTCCTTTCGTCGACTTTTGACGGACTTTGACATCTTCCGGCGATAGATTTCAGAATCACTGTCGCTGTCACTGTCGCTATCAAATTCATCATCGTCACTAGCCTCGAATTCACTATCGTCGCTATCACTGTCATCTTCTTCATCTTCATCTTCATCTTCGCCGAAATCTTTCCGTCTCCTCCTACTCGCTTTAGGTCTCCTGCGGGAATTCTTGGGACGAATTGCGCGCGATCTCTTACCACTTCTAGTAGCTCTTTGACGAGTTCCGGAGCGGCCTTTACTGCGACTTTCCCATTCTTTATTACGCCTGGGACCAATATCTCTATCTCGATCGTATCTCTTGCCCCTAGACCTGCCTTTTGTTTCTGCTTCAAAATTTCTCTTAATTTGGTACTCTTCTTCAAGTAATTCCAATACAGGATTTGTATGGTAAACATTATCTGGAAACAATGTTAGCATCAAGACTACAACTTACCAACAGACCCTGAACAAGCTTACGACTATTGCCTACAGGATAACCTCTACGTCCCGGCGGAGGACGAGGTAGCTGTTCTTCTGGAAAACTACTGCAACAATTCCCCATGCTTAACTTTCTTCATTATGACCATATCGTTAAAGAATCATCCTCTTTCCGTAAGATACGAGTTCGAGGATGTGTGTAGATTAAAAGATTGTTGGCCGACATATTCGGTGAGGTCGACATACACAGAAACTCTAACCAGCCTCAATCATAGACCCTAATTATGTAGGAGGACCGAATATAGAGGTCATATTTCACTTGACACAGGTGAGAAGGTCTTGGACCAAGATTGGTGTTTAACGCGCGGTTAAGGGGGGCACTGGTGCAATCGCGGGTCTTCTGTGGTTATCGAGCATTGAGAAATTTTGATTGGTCAGCGTTGTGGTAGGGGTTCAAAGCTAGCCTAATTCGAGGCAGCAACCAAACAAAATCTCCACGACCTCTACGTTTGTCCTTCTCCCACCAAGATACGAGAACCTGCAAATTAACGTGGTGATAGTAATTACTGGCGGCTAAAAAATACTTTGTACTCACATCAGCCATTCACAATAATATCCTGCTTTTTCATCATCGTAACTGTCTGAGGAGGTCGTTTGTGGTCCATTAATGAGCATCTGACCGACAACCTGCTACCATCACTTGTTTTCTCGATCCTTTGAAACAATGAAGAGCTATCTCCCTCTCGAATTGTGGATATTACTCGCTGATCAGCGATTACCAAAGAAGACTCTATCCGCCTTATGTTTTACATCCAAGGTGAATTGACCAGATTGCGATAAAGAATTAATGCTAAACAAGTAGCAAGACACTCAATGAAGTTTTCAGACCTGCGCTTTACCGTGAGATTGTTTTACCAGAATTTGCAGATGGGGTAATTCAGTCAAACAATGGAAAATTATGGGACATCTCCCAACTTCCTGTTGAGACCCATCTCCGTCACATACGTCGATTAGACCCTAGTTTTGTTGTCTGGCGTACCCGGGCCCTCCTTTCCAGGTGTTTAGACAGAATGTCAAATCTAGAAAGCTGTTCCATTAGGTACTTGACATTTGATATCTTTATGGGTTATAGACTGATCTGATTCACTATTAGCACGGTTCCTACCTTCGCAGCTTATTTCCATCTCAATAAAATCAGGGATGTCTACATCGATCTATGGAAGAATACACGCGACTTTTCGAGCTTTCATGGGTGGTCAAATGTTCCAGATTTCAGAAACCTGCATAGTCTAGATTTGAGGGGCCTGAAGGGTGACCTGGATGTTCTAGGCACGAGTATTGCCAAAATTCTTTTTGTGAGTGTGAAGATAATAGCATTTCTAGAAACCACCTTTCTCAATATCAGTTAGATTGTTTAAGCCGAACTATCATTAGATTGTTAGGTTTGCAATGGGTCGATTAAGAGGATCTCTGCATTCTAAAGTGCGAGATTGCTACGCCTTTCATTCATGCGTGTCGCTATGTGGAGAAATTTCTCTTCCACTGTTTTGCAATCCTTACGTTTTATACCCATTCCTTTCCTTTTTGAGAATCATTTGATAAATAAATAGCTCACATCACATAGAATGATGGTATGCCTACCGTTACGGCACTCGGTCTCGATTTAGAAGAACTCCAGGGAAGCGTAACCACAAATAACTTATTCTTGGATATTTTTGCAGTATTTGACAGAAGCAGACGAGCAATTGGAAAGCCAGATCTACGATTGAACTTGCGAGATCTCATATTGGGAAAAGGGATGTACCATCAGTCCACTGGCATGGACGAGCAATACGACTGTAAACAGTGGCGATTATCAAAACTTTCAGATGTAACGAAGCTTCGTACATTACGACTATTGAACGACCCATGTTTTGAAGGAAATTACTGGGAGCCATATGAAACCATACATTTGGAGTTGTTCGATGGCATCACTGCTCTCCAGAGAGTTTCTGTGGAATTCGTGAGTCAAGAAGTTGTAAAATTACTTCATCACTTAATCATGATGAAGGATTCATCGAATCAAACAACCCTACGAGAGTTTCAAGCAACCCTCGACGGCACGGTTCAATCGCGAATACCTGGCTCTCTTAGCCTCTGTGAGGTTTTGTCTCAGATTATGCAATTTGAGTGGCGTCAGCTATTGATATCAGGCGAAGAAAGTTGTATGGAGCGAATTTACGAGGCTTCTTGGGATGAGCCTTCATATCAGTGGGAGGAGCTGGGAATTTCGTGGATTAATTGGGTATGTATCACTTTCAAGAAGATTATGAATCGGCCTTGAGACATATGAGAACTAAATGGATAACTTTAGGATCAACATCGCGATGCACTTCTCCATCTCTCAAAGCTTCGTATTCTAATGTTCTCTTACGCCACAGTGACTGTCAGTGGTAAGCGGTCACAAGTTACAACCTGTAAAAAGGATGCGTTTAGTCTCGCTAAGAGGATCTTTACTGCTTTCCAAGAACATGCGAAGAATCAGAGAAGGGATTCAAACCTAAGATATGTTGGTATTGATGAATGGGTTTTCACTTCTTTGTGGTTGCCCTTTTCAGAGCTCAATGGTGCGCGCAATGGAGCTGAGATCGTGCAGCTGGATAAGGAAGAAGCTAGAACGTTTCATTTTATACGAATGAATGAAAAACTGGAGATTGGGAAGTATAGGTTGGGAAGAAGGTGGTAATATGGATGTTATTGTAGGTATGTGAAGAAGCGAGGGGGCTTTGTCTAAAATGCTCCAGATGAATTGTTTTTGGGGGATTCGTCAAACCCAAATACATCTATACCCTTTTCAAACGAAAGGAATGCGAGACCATGCCATCAACCCCTTTAGTCATATCAACGAGCCATTCTTAACCAACTCTTGCACTCCCTAAGATGTCCCTCATTTTCCCTACCTCCTCGCCATCTACATCTTCTCCGTCTCCGATCACAGCACTACTATGGAACCATCCCGCTCCTGTTTCTTGCGCCAACCCTTCGAGATTTTTACTGCGTACACCGCCTCCGACAATGATATCAATTCTACCCGCTGCTTGCTGTACCAATTTTTGAAGCTGTACAACTCCTTCAACCGAAGTGGGAGCCCCGCCGGATGTGAGGAGAGATGTGAAGTTTAAATTTATGAGCTAAATTTATCAGGAGGTTTTTCTTCACCAGTAATTTTACGAAAGCAAAAAAGTATCCCCAAACATAAATCAAAAGCAAAAAACAAACCAAGAAAAAAACAATACTCACAACTTCCAATTCCTCATTCATCCTCGCACTTTCAATTCGATCAAATGCCCGATGAAACGTACACCTCACATTCTCCCCGCCCTCCCCCTCCCTCGCAATCCCAATCAACTCAGCACATCTCTCCCTATCAACCACCAACCCTTTTTCCCCTTCCTCATCATCCCTCAAAATCCCAAAAACAAACCCCCTCCCCCCCAACTCCCTAAACCTCCTAATCTCCTCCTTCATCTCCACAAACACTTCATCTCCCACCCTAAAATTATCATCGCGTCCTCCGCCCAGCGAACTATTATCAACCGGTCGAATCATGATATTGATTTCTCCATTCTCCTCTTCTTTTTTCTCCTCGATCTTCCCGTCAAATGTTTTCTCATTCTGCGCATGTGGTGTAGATGCAGAGTACACACTCGAGAAATCCTTCGCGTCAGGCGTCAATCCATCTTTATCCTTGTATGCACAAAGTTCTATGCGTTGCGCGCCGGATCTGAGAGCTAGGAGAGCGGAGGACGGAGTAAAAGTTGCGATTTCTAGGTTTGGGGGCATTTTTGAGATACTATTGGGGATTTGGGGACGAGGGGACATTTCATTGGGAGCTGGGGGTTGGGAGTGAGATATGTTTTATGAGTGAGATAGCGGGGTAGCGGGGTCGAATTCAGGGTCAGACATCCTGGTGATTTGATAAGAGCAATTTTTGATTATTTCTCCAATTACCTACTTAGTGGTTGTGAAATGATTATACTTGGAAGAGCCAATATAATTTATAATTATAATAGTTAATAAAAGTATAATTTCTACTAGTAAAATGACTGGAAACTACTTATTTATAAAAAAAACAATTTACACGAGATTACAATTCAAATAAAAATAATTTTAGAATCAGTCTTTTGTTACTTAGTGTGTGTAAATAGAAATGCTAGCCTGCAAGCAAGGAAGCGGAGATAAATAGATCCTACTGGTCCAACGAATCCAATTCCGTCTGACAAGAACCCCTATAGTTGAGATACATCATCACAATTAAAGTGATATCTGCCCAACAGGAATAGAAGAGCAAGGAAAAATCCAGCAGGAAGAAAAGAAGAAGCAAAATGTACCAGACAAGCCTTCACCGTCAAAAACTCGAGACTCCATGCCTAATTTCGAGAATGAAAGACGGCCCATGTCGTATCATATCATTCCAAGAAACTCCATACCATCCAATGCGCACCGCACATAGTCATCCGACTCATTTCAAATCCCTTACAATCCCCTACAATCCGGCTGCCTTCTTAACAAATGCAGCTGCTGCCGTTGCATCCATCCCATAAGTTAAATGAGCCATTAATATCAAGCTTCCGCCTTGACAGATGTTATCTCCGGCGTGACAAATGATATCAGTTCTATCGGCTGAGACACCTTGGACTGCATCTCCATTATCTGGTTTTTGTGTCAGTTTCAGAATCGACGCCATTTTTTGAAATATGCAAAGGGATTGGGACGAACCTGGGTCACCGAAGATAACGGCAGAGCTGATTTTAGCCGTTATGTCGGCTGGTAAAAGTTTGGCAGCGTTATGCACGAGTTGACCACCTTGGGAGTAACCAGAGATGACGACTTTTGTATCTGGGCAGCTGGATAAGGTTGATGTGACCATTGAGGCCCTGTTGTGACGTGTTAGTCAATGTTTTTGAGAGGAAAACAACTAGTCACACTGGAAATTTAGAGGGAGAGGGAAAACATACATAGTCTTACTGCCGGCAGGATCACCTCCTTGTAAAAATCCTGGAATATCTGCTGGATAGTTGACACCATTCATGGTGACTGAAGATGACCCAAGAGCGGATTTGAGAGCGGAGAGGAAAGGTGGTCCGACTACAGTACCGAGAGTCCCAATCTCAGTAGTTCCACGGGCAAAGATCACCGTCACGTCTGAGCATGCTCTAGCTTCGATGGAACCTGTCGGAGCGGCGAAGACGGAGAGAGGAAGGAGGAGAATGGATAAGAGTTGTTGAGTTGAGGTCTTCATTTTGAAATTGGTTTATTAATTTTTTTTTACAATGAATGATGTCAGTCGAATGAGGATATATGAACTATTCAATAGATATGTGAAAGAATGTGGAGATGATGATCAGTGATGAGAGAAGTTGTGTTGAATGGAAAACATCTTGACTTTATATCTTCAAAGTTGAACCCTGCAATCAGGAACGTCATTTATCTTTGTGCAGAATAACGTCAGATCATAACATATGCTTAATTCTTAGGAGGCCTTGGGATGAAGTTTCAAGCCGATAATAGTATCCAAATGCTTGTCGGCCAGTCAAGATGAAACTTGCCAAATGCCGAGGCATTCAATACACCTGCTATCACACACCAGATGAAGGGTATAATAACATTTCTGCTATTAAAAAAGTAGAAGTGCCGAGGAGAAATGTTGATGGTGAGCTACATAAAGCTCTTCGTGAAAACCAACTTAGCAATGATTGCCCTTCAATACGGGGTACAGCACCGGTATCTCAATGGATGTTCAACTATGTATGTGATCACTAAACCTCCAAGCCGAGCTTTTCCCTCTACGCGCTATTTAAGGCCGCAGCTTAAACGGGCAATCTAGCCAGCTGCAGGTGTGCTAGCCTCGCATCAATTCCAGAGTAAGTATACATCAGACGGGGAATCAACATCATGGGAAACTTCCCCGACAGCACGATCCCAATTCAGAGATGAGGACAAAAGACGTTAATACGAATTATACGATATATCTGGGGAGAAGAACAAAGCGCATGCTCGGCGCTTATGATAGAGTTGCAAAAACATTCTTAAGATGCGATTGGTACAAATGATCTCCACTTGGCACACCAACTCCCGTTTCCTAGTCCTTTGGACCGTTTTGTTATGTTTTGGCGGGGCTAAGAAATGTTGATAGCCAGGATGTTAGTGCTTTGATACCTTTTGAAGTGGGTATCTCAACTTGACATTGAGTGTTTTGCCAATATATCAATCAGTATGAGACGAAAAATTGCTTTTGATGCAAATTGTTCGGATGAATCTGATTTTTCGAAACGTTCAGGGTGTAAGAAACATAAGGAGGATGGTGGTGGCTGTGCGGAGAAAAAGCAAAGGAAATTTGATTGTGATGCAACACAACATCATTGTAACCTTTTTTGCTTGGATTTCCAATCTCCAATATGGAAGTCCGTTGGGGAGTTTGCCGTGACCCGAGAGTCTGTCTGTTCATCTCGTATCTCTAGAATACCATGTCTAGATCACCGTGGTTCATTAAGTCGGTGAGCAGCACAATTCTAAACAATTGAATGGCGTTCTGTCTATATCTTCAACTGCCGAGATAGTAACGATACTTAGAGGTGGTGGTTGAACCACGGAGGAGAAAGAGGTGAAGAGATACTCCGTATGGAAAATACCGAGATCGACAGCAAGGACAAGGGAAGGGGCCGAAATTTCTCTTAACCAAGAGGATCCCCTACATAAAGTTACCCCATATTGAGAAAGCGTGAAGCTCCACATAGCTCATGCCTGCTTAGCCATATCCTGCGGTACTATCCGGAAGCCAAAGTATCGCAGAGGAAGTAAAGACTTTCGATTTGATTCTCTCTTCAAACCGCTTTTCTTTCTACATCCATCTTATTTCTCTCTTCTAGACAAACTTGTGAGTCAAGTTCATTGTGACGGCGTGTCACGGCGTGTCACGGCGTCAAGCTAGCTACTAGACATCTGAGATATCTAGTAATGGGCGTCGCTAGAGTATACGGCTAGTTTAGCCATTAACGGCAAATTCAACTGGCAGTTTTGACAGGAAAGCCTGGTGTCGAATGTTTCAGTCTGAGCTAACATCTACTGAGCCGGAATGATGAGTTGCCCAAAGTAATGCAAAAATGTAAGATCTTACAACTCAAGCTGTCATTGACTAGATTGAGAAAAGTGCTTGATGTCGATCACTTCATATCTCATCTGACGGCAACAATTATCAGTGCTTAAGAAGGGGATTTTTATTGTAAGTTGTGATCATTATTATTTTGGGGAGGGGGGGGTCGAGGCGGGGCTTAGAAAAAGAGCTTACTAGAGATATTCAATTGAACTCATTATGGATCACGAGTCCAACCAACCTCACCGGGAGATCGCATTGAAACATCAACGCTATCATCGCCCGCGCATCCATACTATTTACCAAGAAGAAGATTCCAAAAAAGTACAGTCTATACGTTGACGAGCGTCACTAAACATCTTTCATAATAGGAGAATTACTACGGTTAAAAATCTCATATACCCACCTACCTACCTACCTGCCTTATAGATACGTGACCGAACATGATACCCTCTACATCTCTCATAATCGAGTCTACCAAAAAACCCACCAATCGACACAAATACTCAAGCACCAAACTCTTTCCCTCAACCATCCAACCATCCAACCATCCAAGAATCGTTCTCACAAAGCCTAAACACAAAAAAGCTCATGGGAAAAACACTCAGATTACGAGAAACATTTACATGGAACTTTAACAGCAATCTCATTCCACACGCTACGGCCACACTCTCTAGACTAGCATCCTATTCATCCATCGATCCATCTATTCCACACCCATACATACACCGATCCTAAAATCCTCATCTTGTCACGGATCGCACCCAATCGCAGCTGCGATTGCTCACGTGCGCGCTTGCGCACGTGCACGATCATGTGTACATAGCTAGTATATAGGAGCGCTCTACGAGCGCTTTGCTCCCGATTCTGTAGTTGTAGATTCTAAGGATAAATTGTACCCTGCTCTTGCAATTCTTTTAAGGCAAAGTGTCACATTATCTATAACTCACTATACGATCGCACAGTCATCTGGTGGCCGATCAAATAATATCTTATAATCATAATATCTTCTTGGGTATATCGAGGATGTTCGATATCATTTATAGGAAGAGGGCTGATTCCGAGTAAATCTACTCGACGGAAGATAACAAACCCCCAACATACAGAGTTACAAGTACCGTTATCATATCCGACCCATTTACTTCAAAGAGATTCCATCGCTCTCCCCCTTTCGCCAGCCGAGCGCCCCCAGCCGATAACAGTCAATCTCAACGGAGCAACGGTTACAGTCCTTACAGTTCTAATATAAATACTGATAAACATAAAAAGGATAAATAGTCTGAAAACGACTCCTTGATTGAGATATTAATTCTCAAGAGTAGTATGCCAACACATACTCTCCCATTACAAAAAGAACAAGTGCCAACCCTTAAAGACTTTGAGGATTTGCAAAACGAAATCACAAGATTCAAAGACAAATTGCTACAATGTAGTCTTAGTACTGTTTATCTATCTCAACCTCCAAGATATTGATAGTAATATTATGTAGATTCCCTTACAAATCGCAGAGTTCAAATTCCTGATGTTCCAATCGATTCTATTAAAAGAGCATCTCCTATTACCGGAAAAAAAAAGAATAAAAAAAACCCCTGCTTGCAAAGTTAGTTTTCACAACGATCCTTTTCGAATATTGATAGCAGACCCCTCTCAAACCCAATCACCCTGCTAAACAACCTACAAATTCACCAAA